GGGCTATCTGCCCAAGGATAAGGCAGAGGTTCAGGCCTTATCCTTGCTTGGCTACCAATAGAGCTGTTTGCCTTTGTTTCCCCTTCTGTATGGAGAAGGGTTGAGGTGGCCCCAGGGTTCTGAGGGTGGCAGGGAGCATTTGAGGAGGCCACTTGGCACAGTGGTTAAGAATCTGGGCTTGGGGTCAGGCAGATGTGGGCACGAATCCTTGGCTGCTGCTTGGCTGTGAGACTCTGGGCAAGTAACATAACCTATCTGAGCCCCAATTTTCTCATCTGCAGAAATAGGCCAATGATATTACCTGCCTCACAGGGCTACTATGAGGGTTGAATGAGGAAATGTCCATAAAGCACTCAGCAAGGCCCTGGCGTATAGCACACCTCGTTCACAGAGGCTGCCGCTCACAGTGATCCATGCAGGCAGGCGGGTAAGGGACTAGGCCTAGTGGGTGGGAGGAACCATGGCAGGCCATTGAACAGGAGCATGCCAGGCATGTGGTTTGATGTGGCAGCTGTGAACATGGAGACTTGGGCTGAGTTTTCTTAGCAAGTCTGAGAGCCCCTTCCGCCTTCCAGAGTGAGAGCTGAGGGCCGGCCGTAATGGACCATCTTCCTTTCCCCAGCCAAGAGTCTTCATTGACTTGGCATGGGCAGCCTCTGTCTGGCACAGGTCCCTTGGGGTGGGGTGGTCATTTTCCTTAGGGACTCCTATAGGACCCCTTGTCTCTACATCCCAGTGGCTGGCCTTAGGGAAATGTGAGGGAAAGGCTTTGGAGGTGAGTGACATTGAAGGGACTTAAGTTACATGTAGGTGGAGCTCTGGACAGGGCTAGTGGGTCAGGTGGGCCTGGAGTGGCAGTCCGCTGGGCATTGGATGACCTCGGTTTCTGGTCTGCATCCAGGCTGGGTGGTGCTTGCTCCAGCGGAGCCATGGAGAGGTCGACAGTAGGTGGAATGTGGTCCCCTCGGAACCCACACTTCACTGGTGCCCAGGCATGCCAGCCAAGCCCTGTGCTTCTGCAAGCTTGTTTCCCAGCAGTTGAGCTGTGCCAGGACAGCCAAGGACATTTCAGAGTCCCCAGGGCTCATAGCCAGGCTGTCACTGGGCATTGCCTGTTTTCCCAGGGCCTAAGAGTCTTCAGGGATGGAGGGGGTTCTGGAGATATTCCAGGGACTTTTCTTACCAGCCTGGTAAATTGAGGTCTGGAGAGAGCAAGGCACTTGACCAAGGTCTCACAAGGCCACCTCCCTCATATCTGTCACTCCCCTCTGTTCCCATGTCCTCTGCTCAGACTTCTGTTCCTCTGCCTGGACGTTTATAACAACCTCCCTCTTGTGGGCTCCCCAAGAGCTTTGTCTGTCCTCCATTATTGTAATCTTGTCATAATCTGCCAGATGCATACACTATTTGTTGCGTCTGCCTCCTGTCCCCTCCAGTGACTGCCCATGACAGACTCTCCCTGACAGAGCTGTGCAGCATGAGGTTTAGGCCCCAGGCTCTGGAGCCAGTCTGAACTCTGTTTGGATGCCAACTCTGCCCCTTCCTGGCCTGGTGACCTTGGGCATGATACCCTGCCTTTCTGAGCTGCTGTCTCTGAAATGAAAACAGTAGCAATACTTAGTTTACAGGAATGTCGGGACAGTTAAATAGGATAACGTGTGAAATGCAGTGTACAGCACCTGGTACCGATTAAACGCTCAGAAATGGGCATCGTTGTCCCAAAGGCTCATCAATTGGTTGAACTGGAAAGTCGCGAGCATGGAGGAGTAGACCCGGGCTGGGACTGGGAAGCAGAGGATGTGGGCTGCAAGTTCACCTCGAACACTGTGCTCCTGTGTGCAGGTTGGGAAACCACTTATCCTCTGGAAAGCCCACTTCCGTTTTCTGAGAAAGGGGGCGGAAATCCCTGCTATACCTTTTTAAAGTTGGCATGTGATGCCACAGCAATGCCTGTGAAAAACTTTGCATCTGTGTAATGATTTAAAAATGGCACAGCAGTGGCTGCGGTGTGCTGTTGGCGATGAGGGCATCGTAACCACAGCAGTGGGCAGCTGGCTGGGCTGGAGGCTGGTCCATCTATGAAATGCTCAGCGCCCACATGGACTTCCCCGTCCCTGCCTACATGCTCCCGGCTGTCCACCAGCCTGCCTTTACATTTGCCCTGGCATTACATGTTAGAAAACGTGGGAGGTGCAAAGAGCTGATGGCATTTCCCTGGCCCTAGTGGGTTTTGTGTTATCTGTGGCTGATGCCATGGAATGTGGGGATTAAGAACCAGACAGACGCTGGTTCGAATCACAGCTAAGCACTTCCCAAGAGGGGGTTGAGCAGGTTGCTTAATCTCTACGAACCTCAGGTTCTGTATTTGTAAAATGATGCCGTGATCAAGTAGAGGCCAAGCATTTAACAAAGAGCCCAGAACACAGGGGCATTGGTTGGTTGTATAATGTGTATTCTGTGTGGAACGTGTGACTAATGGGTTATTGATGGCAGGGAGCTGGGGCCACTATGCCCATTTCTGGGGATTTGCTGCAGAGGTCAGTTATGCTCCTTACAGAATAACCCGGCTTAGATTTAGGAGGGTACATGGAGTCATACGGCATGATTCAATTTTTTAAATTAATTTATTTTTTCAAATTTTATTTTATTTTTTAAGGTGGGGTCTTGCTGTATCTCCCAGGCTGGCGTGCAGTAGTGCAGTTGTAGCTCACTGCAGCCTTGAATGCCCAAATGCCCAGGCTTCAAGCAATCCTCCTACCTCAGCCTCCTGAGTGCTGGGACTGCAGGCACGTGCTACCATGCCTGGCTTCATGAGTCTGTTTTATGTGACCAAACTGAGGCCAAGAAAGGAGTGGTGCTTGCTTGAGATCACAGGCAGGTTGTGTAGGGCTGGGCCTAGGATGAGGCAAGTGAGGCATCTAAATGCAGCATCTCAGGAGATGCCCACTGTGCGCTTGCCCATTGTGGAGAGTAAAGCCCCTGCCTTTTTTTTGAGAGAGGGTCTAGCCGTGTCGCATAGGCTGGAGTCCGCTGGTGTGATCTGGGCTCACTGCAGCCTAAACCTCCTGGGCTCAAGTGATCCTCCCACCTCAGCCCTCCCATATAATTGATTACAGGCACACACCACTACACCTGGCTAATTTTTGTAATTTTTTTTGGTAGAGAAGGGGTTTTGCTATGTTGTACAGGCTGGTCTTGAACTCCTAGTCTCAAACTCCTGGGTCAACCTGCCTTGACCTCCTGAAGTGCTGAAATGACAGGTGTGAGCCACACACCTGCAGTGAGCGTCTTCTTAAAGGCTCCTTGCTGGCCTCACCTGAGCCTAGTCCTGCATGAGTCCCTGATCTAGGACAGGAACCCTGGTCTCCTGGCCCCATGAACTGTTCTGGACCCCTGCAAAGCACTTTCTAGAGTCTCACTGAGGCCTCCCTTCCCCTTTAAAAGGAGCCTCTGGGAAGTAAGTCACCTGATGCTTTTTGCTCCATGTTCCTGCTCTCTAGCTGTTGTCTGTGTCCCAGAGAAAGCCAGGCCCACTTGCCCCCACCTCCCCCCACCTTCTGCCCCCTCCCCTGCCAGCTGCACCTCCATGTAAGTACCTTGAGCCCCTTAACACCCGAGGCATGTTGGCGGCCAGCGCTTGTCTTGATGACAAGCCCCAGCAAGTCTACAGGGACTGGCTGCTTTCATGTGGGCCCTCGGTGAAGCCTCGTTGGTCTCAGCAGGCCCTGTGTTGTGCCCACCAGGCTTCCAGGAGATTAGGGGGCTTCTGTGGCTCCACAAGCCTCAAAGCTTTTCCCTTGCTCTGTGTTATCCCTAGCCCACCTGGCTTCCGTCCTCACTGGCCACAGGGCTTGTGGGATTTTCATTTCTCAAAGGCTCTGGCATCTTCCGGAGCAGGCTAGTCTTGGGGTGTCCATCTGAGCCATTCTCCCTGTCACCACTGCTGGGCCTACCCCCTGGGCTTAGGTGACTTCTTGAGAGGTGGCCAAGGCTGCTAATCCCTGGAAAGGGCTTGTAGTTTCCCTGTGGGTGGCAGGACTCTTGGCCATCCACGTGGTATGACATGAGGAGGCTGGAAAGCCAGCCCAATCTCCATCTTTTTTTTTTTTTTTTTTTTTAACTGCGGCTCTCAGAGACTGCATTTCTACCATTATCAAGTTGCCTTGTGCTCTCCTTGGCATCCTCTAAGAAGGCAAATACCTTTCAGGTGGGTGCTTTTAAGTGTTTGCTGTTAAGAAGCAAGCTCCGGCCAGCCTGGCCCTTTTCCAGTATACTGTGTGACTGAGGCCAAGTGCTTCTCCTCTCTGGGCCGTGACTCTGTAAGACCCTTTTCAGCTCTAGCACTTGGAGACTTTGGCATGGATTCTCACACCCTCCACATCTTTGCCAGTCACCTTTCTTCCTCCTCTGCAGGGTGGGGCACAGGGAAGGGCCCAGCAGCTGAGCTGGGTGGGGGCAGGGGCCAAAAGCCAACATCATAAGACACTTTTCCCACCAGTTGGGCAGATCAGTTCCTCTTCTTCTCAGGACAGGTGGGGAAACTGAGGTTTGGTGGGGGAAGGGCCAGAGCCAGAACCAGGACCCAGTTATCCTTATTGTCAGTGTGTTGTTTGCTGCTCCCTCTTTTGAGAGGGTCAGAGGACTCACTGGCATCAGGGTCAGGGACATGCTTTTTTCTTTCTCATGGAAGGCTCCTCCAGGCAGGGCCTGGGTGAGGCAAGCAAGGTGCCAGCGGTCCCCTGGGCACAGGTCAGAATCAGAGGAGGACATCCTCTTTCTGAGGTTAAGGAGGTAGGGGCTGGAAGCCCCTACCTCCAGCCCCTACCTCCTTAACCTCAGAAGGGAGGTGGCATGAAGGGGCATGGAGGTTTCTAGGAATGTGGTTGGTGGCACAGGGTACCCTAGGGCCACCTCCCTCCCGACCTTGCTTCTGCCTTCCCTGTCTCCCGGGGAGGGGACTGGGCCAAGAGTAATGCCATTTTTCCTGGCTCTGGGATTAGGTGCAGCTGTGTTAAGTGAGCAGCGTGGAACCATCACGAGGACGTGGCGAAGTGAAGAGGAGCCGCGCGCCACTGCCTGGAGCTCCGGTGGGTCTGGGTCTGGTCTTTCTCTCCCTGGCTTCTGTGCCCTCTGACCACTGTCTCTGGCCCCCAGCCCTGTCCAGTCCTTCCAGGTTCATCTGAGGGCACGCAGACGTGCGTGCGTGCGTGCGTGCGTGCGTGCGTGTGTGTGTGGTGTGTGGCCCCAGGAGGGCCCTTGGGGGTACAGGCTGGCACTTGAGTCTGGCGCTGGGTCCTGCCTTCATTCCAGATCAGAAGCAGCTCCCGGGATTGCCCCAGGGTGAGGTCCAGGCTGACCTGGCAGGTTCCCAATGGAGGAGAAGGAGCAGGAGGCTGAGGGTTGGGAAGGAAGGGCTCAGTTTCTCTTTTGGCTTCACCAGACAGCTAGGCACATCCACAAATCCACCTGAAGCCAGCAGGTCCAAGAATTAAAGATTTATTTCAGGGCCAGTGGGGAGGCTGGAATAGTAAGATCCCAGGGCTCTCAGATGTTGCCTTTGTGGCTTTGGTCCTGTCTAGACTGTGAGAGCCATGGCTTGTCAAAGCCAGAGGGGCTCCTAGAGAGTTTCCATGTTCTTAACTTGGCATTTGTTGGGGGCCAGTCACAACCATTCTGAATTTATGTGTGCAGATAGAGGAGAAGCTCAGGGAGTGATAAAATTGTTTTTACTTCACTGGGCATAAATGACAAATAAATGAGGTAAGGGTTGGGAAGTGCTTGGTAGAGTGCCTGGCACTTGCTGGGCCGTGAGGTGAAGTGCTCCCCATTGTCCTTAGCGGTGCCCTGCTAGCGGAGATCTCCTGCTTCTGGCCCTCACTCCTGCCTCTTCCTTAGCATGAGGGCTCTGCCTGGGACAGGAGGTGGCCCCCCTTTCTTATAGGGGGGTGCCTGGTGTGGGGGTGAGAACCCTCTGGCTGAAGTCCTGCCTTGCTGGGGCCCATGGTACAACTCTGCAGTGCAGGCTTTCCTAGGAGGCTGAAGCTCACAGCTGCTAGAGAAGCCAGGTCAGCAGACCCAGGGCTGGTCTCCTGCAGGAAGCCTCTCTCCTGGGCTGCAGACCTGGCTTGGGAGGGATGTGGAAAGTAGGACTGTAGAGGGGTCGCAAACAGGGGCTCTGGGGTGGGCTGGGAGGGGCATCCTAGCTCCATCTCTGCCCAGCTCTGTGACTTCGATCTGGTTACTTACCCTCTCTGAGCCTCTGTTTCCTTGTCTGTAAAGTGCTCAGAGCAGTGACACCACTGTCAGGGTGTTAGGACTGAGCATGGTGGAACAGGGAAGGCTCCTGGCACAGATGTTCATAAGAGCTTACTGTTGGCCGTCAGTGAGGGAGGTTATGGTATGTGTCGGGAAATGCTGCTTTGTTCCTTTTGAGTGTCTGTGATCTGAGCCTGAGAAAAAAAATGGGGATGGATTTGACCCTGTCTAGGCGGATTTGGGGATAGGGTGGGAAGAGAGCCCCATTTTGGGAAGCTTTGTGGCCATTGCATAGCGTTCTGTGTGATGGGCCCGACAGCCTCGATGTGTGTGACAGCCTCAGTGGGACTGTCAGGACTGTCAGGGACGCACATTCCCAGGAACAAGGACCAGAGGGTGGCCGGGTGACCTGCCATGTTCCCCACACGGCTCCGCCCCCAGGCTGTCTGGTATGTTTGCTCAGTAAGCTTTTTTCAGAGCTGGTACAAAGGTAAACTCGCAACTCAGGCCCTGTTGGAAGAAGGACACATTCTCAACAGGTGAGGTTGAAGTTCCTTAGGTTTTCTGTTGGGCCTTCCCTGCCAGGGACCCAGAACAGATTTGCAAGTTGAGAACCAGGGAGTGAACCAGTGCTTTATGCTTTGTTTGCTTGTTGATTGATGGATGTTCTGTGGGCTACTTTCAAGAAAGATCACTAAGGCTGCTTGTGATACTAAAACACATATAAAATTGATGAAAACAGACAGAAAACTATTCAAAGGGAGTGGAGAATGGGATGTGCAGGGCATCTGGCAAGTGTTAGCTGTCTTAGCTGACCACAGAGGGGCTGCCGAGCTGGGGGCCGAGGGGCCCAGGCTCTGGAGCCCAGCGGCGGCTGTGTGCTGAAATTCCCATTCACCCCCTTAGTAACTCTGTGGGCTGCAGCAAGTGACTGGCCTCTCTGGTCCTCAGTTCCTCATCTGTATAATGGGGTGAATCTAGGCCATGGTGCTGTGGTAAGGTTGAAATAATGGTATGTATCGCAGACATAGCATATCTCACAAATGGAAGTTAATGTTATTAATGCATTTAGCTTGGAGATGCTGCGTAGCAGATTCACAGAGGGGAAGGTAATTGACAAGGGCACGTGGCCCTTGAGCACCTGCTGTGGGTAGGAGACTGTGCCTGGGAAAGCTTTCAGTGGAGTTGGGAGCCCGCATTCTAGTTGCAAGAGCACCGGATACTTGGTGTGGCATTGTGGGATATGGAGCAGGGAAGCTCAACCAGGACTTTAGAAATCCAGAGCAGCTTTGTTCACCTCCCTGCTGAGGCTGGCTTTGGAGGAGGAGAGACAGGATTTTAATGGACAAGAAAATGGACCAAGGTAAATGAGAGTGGGGCATACCAGACGGCACAAGGCCAGGAGATCTTTTTCCCTCTCTGGGTCTCAGTGTCCCAGGGGCTGACTGTAGGGCAGACTGTGCTCTCTGTGGCCCTGTGACTCTGAGCCAGACCTCCAATAGTCTCTTTCCTGGTGGTGGCGGTCCTGGACTCTTGGGGTGACTGACAGGCGGCAAGTTGGCCCCTGGCCAGGCAGCACTGCGGGGTGATGGGGGATGGGGCATACAGCAAATTCCAGCAGAGGAAGGGATTTGCTTCTGGTCTCAGCCTCCCAGGGGTGTAATCACGCTGGAGAAACTCCCGCACAGCTGGGAAGCAAATGTGGAGGATTTTCCTTGCTGGGCTGGATGTGGTGGGTGGGGCAGGCTGTGGTAGGGTGGCTGGTGGAGCTGTGGGGTGTGGCTGGGTGGGGGGCGGTGGCGTGACTGTGCTGGGGGTGTGACAGGCTAGGAGAGGCTGGATCAGCTGTAGGGAGTGGCCCTGGGTGCCTGTGGGGCTACCTGTGTCTGTGCTGGCATCCACTGCTACCCCCTCCCCTGCTCAAGTCCCTGCCCAAGCCTAGGCTCCCATTCACATCCCTCTGAGCCTGCTGGCAGAGCTCTTTCTGCACTGACCTCCTCTCGGCCCCCACCCCACGTGCATGTGGCTCAGATGCCTATGATGATGCCATTGGAGCCTGTTGTGTGCATGTGAGTGTGATGTATGTGTTGCCGGGGGCAGGGAGGGGTATGTGGTCCACAGAGGGCATTGTCAAGAGTGACCTAGGCTGGAAATAAAATGTGGGCTGGGCAAGCTTTCAGGGCTGTGGGCACCTTCCCCCATTCACTGCAGCCATGTTGTACTAGAGTCATAAAACCTCGGGTTCCAGAGACCTCTAGAAACTCTTGTGGGAAGGTCACGGTCACCACTGTATTTTCCGTGCCTCGTGCCATGCTTGGCCCCTAGTGGAGCTCAATAAATACAGGATGGGGAAACAGGTCGTTTCTGGATTTCCAGAGAGATTTCAGACCTCCTTCCTGGAGCCCATTCTCTTGCTCCTTCCCTCTGGCGTCAGCCTGCCCTCCCTTCTCTCTTTCTCAATTCACTATTAATTTGATATGTGGCCTTGGGCCAGTTCCTTCCTGAGCCTCACTTTCCAAATCTGTTACTGAGTAATCATTTTATTAGCTTATATTACTATGTGCCAGGCACAGAGCTCAGTGTTTTATATGCATCATCTCTTTGTCTTGGCAGATGCCCTGCAAGATAGATAGGTAGTATAAACCCCATTTTAGAGTTAGTGAAACTGAGGTTCAGAGAGGTTGAGGGATTTGCTCAAAGGTCATGAGGCTGGTAAATAATGGAGCCAACAGGCCAGGCATGGTAATCCCAGCACTTTGGGAGGTTGAGGTAGGAGGATCACCTGAGGTCAAGAGTTTGAGACCAGCCATGCCAACATGGCAAAACCCTGTCTCTACTAAAATTACAAAAAAGCCAGGCATGGTGGTGCATGCCTGTAATCCCAGCTACTCAGGAGCCTGAGGCGGGAGAATCGATTGAACCCGGGAGGTGGAGGTTGCAGTGAGACAAGATCGTGCCATTGCATTCCAGCCTGGACAACAGAGCAAGACTCCACCTCAAAAAAAAAAAAAAAAATATATATATATATATATATATGTATATATATGTGTATGTATATATATGTGTATGTATATATATGTGTATGTATATATATGTGTATGCGTATATATATGTGTATGTGTATATATATGTATATGTGTATATATATATGTGTGTATATGTATATATATGATGGAGCCAACATTCAAGCCCCAGCTGGGCACAGTGTCTTATACCTGTAATCCCAGCACTTTGGGAAGCTGAGGTGGGTTAATTGCTTGAGCCAGGAGTTCAAGACCAGCCTAGGCAACATAGGGAGACCTCGTCTTTATTAAAAAATTAACTGGGCATGGTGGTGCACGCCTGTAGCCCTAGCTACTTGGGAGGCTGAGGTGGAGGATCACTTGAGCCTGGGAAGTTGAGGCTGCAGTAAGCTGTGATTGTGCCCCTGCACTACAGCCTGGGCAACAGAGAAAGACCCTGTCTTAAAAAATGAAAATATGCTGGGCACAGTGGCTCACATCTATAATCACAGCACTTTGGGAGGCTGAGGCAGGTGGATCACTTGAGGTCAGAAGTTCAAGATCAGCCTGGGCAACATGGTGAAACCCTGTCTGTACTAAAAATACAAAAATTAGCTGGGTGTGGTGGCAGGCACCTGTAATCCCAGGTACTCAGGAGGCTGAGACTTGAGAATTGCTTGAAGCTTGAACCCAGGAGGCAGATGCTGCAGTGAGCCTGGGCAACAGAGCAAAATTCTTAAAAAAAAAAAAAAAAAGAAAAGATTCAAAGATTCAAGCCCAGGCAGGCTAGCTCCAATCTGGGCCTTTAACTGCTACACTCGCTGTTGCTG